AAAAAAAAAAAACAAAGAAAAATGAGATCACTATCCTTCGAGTTGCGATGCCTCCGCGCGCAAAAAAGATGTTTCTATAATTCGTTGATTGATTTTTCAATTTAGTTTTAACTTCTCTAGTAGTAACTGGACCATAATTGCCCGAACAAATCGAGCAAAATTAAAATATCCTATATTATAGGATACCTTTTCGTTTATACACGTGCTCTTTTTTACGCTATTAAAAAAAATATACTTATATAACTAACATATATATGTATATATGTAACGGAGGTAACAGATAAATTTAAATAAGCATTAGATTACTATGCTGGATTATTATGCTGTCAATTCATGTTAAATCGGACAAATTGTCATCTCTTTCCTTTTCGAAATTAATTATTTTAAATCAACTACTCAGATTATTTTGTATAATTGTAAAAAAAAAGATGATAATAGTAATAATTATAATAATAATTAATAACAGAAAACGAAAAATTTTGAATTTTTCTGAATGAAAAAAGAACGAATGGTGGACAAACATTTCATAATGTGTCGATCATCAACCATTATCTCCAGAATCTCATTTTCTATTACCCTGGACGCGAGAGCAGCACTGAGGAACTCTTCTTTTAATCTTTCTTTTTTCTTTTCGTTTATTCAAGGAGGGATGAGACTTGCAGTTTTGAAAAGAAGTCGGTAAACTTTGTTGTCATGTAAATCGAATCCGAGAGCTCGAACTGAGGCAGCCATGTCTTCCACGTAAGCCTCGTGAATCGTCGATATGTCGGCGATCTTAGCCGAACTCGCACGAACCCGCGCGCGTGTGTGGTGTGTGTGGTGTGTGTGTAGCTGTGTATATGTGATGCGTGAAACTGCTTCGAATAACAACATACCATATTTACAAACACGGCCATGTAAGGAGAGTTCTTGGCTAATTACGTTTACCTCGTTGTACTTTCTTTCGATATGAACCGTACATATTTCGCCTTTTAGAGGGCGAATATGTTTTCACCTTTCTGACTGACACTTTTTCTCCTTCACGTATGTACATACGCGTGTATACACACATGCACAGAAATACACGAGGTGCATCGAACGTTATATCGTGGAAACGTAAATCCAGGAACGAGAACGGCTGTTTCAATTAAAGGGCACCGAACTTTCTTTCGCTTTTACCGTCTGTACACCACAGAAATCATTTTCTAAATTTCTTTGAATCCCGTATACCGGTGTCATAATACGCCGGCCACGCGATAATTCATTTTCACAGCTCAAGCGGCTCGTACACTGGCTGTAATTGTTCGTCCTCCGAATCGTAGAAGTACGGTTTCCTTCGATAACCCGTTGACGATTGCTCGTCCTCCTCCTCCTCTTCAGAATTATCTAAATCAACGAGATTTGCTTGAAGTCTCTTCACAGCCTCTTTTATCAGACCACCTTCTCGAAGTAGTTCTTGCAAAAGCTCGTATGGATCGTCATCCCTCGTGGTTGGCCTTTTGTGATGATGATGATGGTGATGGTGATGGTGGTGGTGGTGGTGATGGTGATGGTGATGACCAAAGTGATGACGATGATCGTGGCCACCGGTGTTTTTCGTGCCGCATACATCGCAGTTGTTAGGATCTGCCCAGGACCTCGAAGGTATTTGATACGGTGACGGTCGACTTTTCTGACTGATGCTGGACTTGGCTTTCAAGCTGGACAGTCGAAGATTTTCTTTGATCTGCGAAACAAGAAGGTCGACGTCGCTAGAGAGGAAGTCCTGGGTCGTGTTGGGCACTACTTCGATCAAGTAGGTTGTCTCTTCGGCGCTCGGCATGGCTAAGTTACTTTCCCCCGATTCACCGGTTATGAGAACAAAAGGACAATGGCACGAATGCTGTGTTTACACCTCCACGTATGCGATACGGGCGAGCAGCATCTACAATAAAGCCGCGCTCTCGGCCAACGTGTTATTGTTCTCTCTCTTTCTTTTTTGCTTTCTCCTTCTCTCTTTTATTCCTTTCTTCTGGCAGATGTGTACACAGAAAACGTTCTACACGCTGCACGCACTAGTACGCCAAAAAAAAAGAAAAGAAGAGAATGTTCAACTTGTATCTTTATTCTTCTCTTAAGATTATTGTTTATTGCAAATTTGTTGAAAGAGCAAAACAGATTTGTCTTTAACCGACTATGCAGCCAAAATTAATTGGATATGATTGGTATATACCTTGTTGCTCCTAATTCGACGTGCATTCGGTGTTTACGAACATATTTAGAGACAGTCATGTAAACATAAATGGCCTAAACTAGTAGTCGCGTCTCGTAATCGCATGGAACGCGTGATTCACTGTGTAAATACGCACCACCTCTATCCTGTCCCCTCTCTTCAAGCCTTTCCTTTTCTCGAATATTGAACGAATCATCAAGTTTTGCTCGTGCTTTACTTCAAAGAATTGAATGAATACATTCTCACCACACACGTACAATACACAGCATATACTCGGCTAAACACATACAACGCTCACCTCACACGCACGCAACTTTAAATTTGTTTCAACATTGAATA